ATCATATACTGCGTTAAAACCATGAGAAGCAGAGTACATAGCAACATGTAAAAAAAATGAGAAACTTTGAGGAGTCATTTGGTAACGAGAGGCTCTATTCTCCCAACTGAGTATGTCTTCATTTGTTAATCCAAAATTTGCTTTTAAAATATTATTTTGAACTTCTGTTGAACGTCCCTTAAAAAAAGAAGCACTAAGACTTTCACAATAATGTATATATTGGAAATATGTAGTTTTTAAAAACCTATTTTCATCACCCATAATAAGCATAAGAAACTTATTTTCGGCTATTTGTATTTTTCTTGTATCTTCCATTTTAATAAAAAACTGAGTAAAATAAAATTAAAATTTTACTGCGGAATTGTTATGTTTTTTAATTTTTGAAGGAAGAGTTTTTTTGGGAAATCATTTATGTTAAATCATCTTGTTGGAACTACATTTGATGGATCAGCAATGGTATGATATATATATAGTATATCTTTTTAAATTTTTTGATTAATTCTGAAACAGATTAACTAACTTGTCTTTAGCGCTGTACTGAAGGCGTGTGGATGTCATTAGGTAATTCTTAAAATTTTTTATTACATTAAAGATAAATTCTATTAACTTTATTTTATGGTGAATACACGAGAATATATCTATGTTGCGCTTGACTTTGAAGGATTAAAATCTCTTGAGAGAACTCCACAAGAAGGTATATATGTTATGCTTTAATTTTCCTTTTTATTTATCATGATCTAACTATAAATTATAAATTATGTCGATTAATAAACATGTTCTATTCTTAGATATGTTTTTAATGCTCTTTAATACGGTTGTCTCAAGTCTTATTCTTTTTAAAGTAAATTTCTATATACTGTATATTATTTATATTATATTACTGTTGCTTTTTGCTTAAAATGTTTTACTAATATGTATAATTAATTTCAAAAGAATCAATTTACCATAAATAGAGATGTATCAACAATGTTCCAAAAATTTCAAGATGGTGCAAAGTTATTTGAGTCAGATCCGGAGATATTTCAAGTAAATCATGAAAATTAATGTTTAACCATAATACGAAAAAAAACATTGCCTACATTAATTATTATTGAATTTTTCAGGCGAGACTTTGGATTATCATTAAAGACGTGCCTCAAGTAGATGAAAATGATATTAAGAGAGAATTTCAATTAAAACTTTCTCAATTAGTTAAGGCGGTAAATAAAATGATTCTATTTGTTTAATTTTGTTTTTTATAAAAACTAATTTAATGTTATAGGAAGGCGAAGATAATTTTATTACAAGAATGTATAAAGGTGGAATGAATATTACACCTTGGCCTGTATTTAATGATATTGCATGGTTTAAAAATCTGGCAAAAATTAAAAAAAGTCTGGATAAACAAAAAACAAAATATGAAAATGCTAAAACTTTCTTGCAAAACACAAAAGTAATTATGGCTAAATTGAAGGTTTGTAAACATTATACCTTCTTATTTTACAATATCTTAACTGATGCCTAATCTGGTTACTAACCAAAGAGTAATTGGTAAGTATAATTCGAGAATTTTTTTCATTAATTTCATATTCTGAAACTTAGATATGTGATTGGGGTTCATTGAACGAAAACCTCATACAAATCCGCGTTGCAATGTTAAAAAGATTATTTCCAATCGCTGTATCTTATGGTTTAGAACAAAAAGATCCCAACATTGAATGTCTTATGGTAAATTAAATTTTATTTGTTGTCTTATGAGAAGGATATATTTTTAATCTATCTAATTTATTTATTCCAATAGAATTATGATTCTGGAGAACAAATTAATGATTCAATAATTGACTTATGTGATATCTTAAAAGACTTCAAAAATTCTTCCAAAATGTATCCCGATTCTGATATTCTGTTATATGATGAACACACGTCTTTTAAACGACTTTCTGAAAAATTAAGATGTGATTTCGAGGAAATTGTACAACCGCGAAGAGAATCATCTGATGATAATAAATGGGTTTCTAACCTTAATAAGTTCTTTGAGGGTATTATTGAACGGCGAAAATCACGTGTTCGAGATTGGTATGAGCAAAATACTGCTAAATTCCACCAAGATAATAGTGATATTGTTAATGGAAAGTATGTAATGGAGCAAGAAATAAGCAAACTCACACTTCTATGGACCTTGTGTGGATCAATATGTCATCTATGTAGTTTGAAATGTGTCAAAAGTCGTAATCACAAAGAGGATCATGAATGTTTAACCGATCATAAGTGTCATTTTCCTTGTCACTTTGTTGAAGCTCACAACGGAAATTTAATCCCAGAATGTAGTCACAAAGCTGGACATGAAGGAAAGCACGTTTGTGATAAAATAAGCCATTCATGTGGTGAACCATGTATCCTTATTGATAAGCGTAATTGTCAAAAAGTTTGTTCTAAGAAAATTGGACATAATGACGATGAACATTTATGTCAATCACGTAATCATTATTGCGGAGAGGATTGTTCATTATCAAAACATATCACAAAAGGAAATTATCATTGCCCAAATAAATGTATTAAACCATATGAAGAAGAACATGATTTGCATCGTTGTGAAAATATAGGTTGTCCAATTCAATGTCCAGTTCCAAATTGCAAGGAAAGGTGTCAAAGTGATGATAATTTTCATGCTTTTTCTGTACAAAGGTATTGATTGTATAAGTTAATGCATGTAAATTAAAATATAAAAATATATTGACTCTTGAAAATATAATTATTTATAATAGTATATTCAATTAAGTGAAACATTAAAATGTAATAAAAAGATTCCTCCGAATGAATTTAAGCATACTGGAAAACACACTCACAATGAAAATGGTTTCCATTATCGTGATGCAAAGTGTCGGTGCGAATATTATGTATGTATTAATAAAATATTTTATTTAATTAATATAATTTATTTTTTTTGGTTAATTATTGTATTAATTATTTAAAAATAGTGTACATTATCTTATAAACACAAACAAAAAGACCACGATACAAGACATGGAAATATGACACAAACTGAATTCACGGGAGAAGATAATGAATTTGAATATTTAGGGTATTGTACAATAATCATCGAAGAAAAATCTTATAAATACGATGCTTTATTTTAATTATAATATTTAATTGTTAGACATAAATTAAGAGTTGGTGATCAAGGAACATTTGTTCTTTGCAATTTAGTAAGTATTATATAAGTATAAATTTATAATTGCCTATTTTTTTAATTTTTTTAATTTTTCTTTCTCTGTGTTAGTTTTGTAAAGAGTTAGGTAGACATCGTCATATTGATTATTGCCAAAATGAAGAAATTTGCAAAATTGAAAATCAAAATATACAACACATTAATGGTAATTCTTTTATTTCCTAAATGAAAATATGTATTTAACAAATTTTATTTTACTTTATTCATTTTTTATTTATTTTTTTAGAAAAAGTTTCACCCAATCCTGATAGATCAAAAGATTTCATTTCTCATAAACTTTATTGGGAGCGAACAGGTTTCAAAGGTACAACGTATACAACTTAATTCCTATACGCTACTTCAATTAACTTATATTATTTTAACTATATGATATTTTTCCTTAATATTAGATCCTTATTCTGTTCAAGAACAACAAGAATTTACAAAATGTGATTATGAATGTCCCGACGAAAAGCATCATAAATCTGAATCTACAAGTGTTCCTCCAACCAAATCATTCTGTGAATTACAACTTTTTCATACTTTACTCAACCCAAAATTAAAACCCCCAAGTGATAATGGATATGTATCCTTGGATGGACATCATTTCAATTGTGAAGATCCAAATGCTGCTTTTCACATTATCTTTGTTCTAGATCGTTCAGATTCTATGAGAGCGCAAGATAAGAAACCGATTTCAAGATATCCAATTTATAATGACTTAATAAAAGAGCATGATAATAGAATTGGTGCAGTTTATCAGGCGGTAATATTAAATAATATTTAATTATCCCATCTTAGTTTTTATTAAAAAAAATTACTATTAATGTAGGTATACTATTTTGTGGAAACACGCATAAATTCTGTCAGAACAAATCATAATCAAATGTCATTAGCTATGCGCGATAATATTTCATTAATCTTATTTAACACAAAGGTTCGTATTAATATTTGAATTTGAACTCATATTTATCTAATTATGATACCTGATACTGAAATAAATACAGGTTATCATTCCATTTGAAAATCGAGATTTAACTGATCTGACAGTTTTGTTGGATATAATGCTTAAACAAAATGCATATGGTGGAACAAGCTACGATCTTGCAATTCAGAAAGCTGGATCTTTAATTGAAACTCACTTTGATCCCACAAAGTATGACCTTTTGAATAATTTAAAATGTAATTATCGATATAAATTTATTTATTTCATAATTTTCTTTTAGAGTAAATATCATTATATTCTTATCCGATGGAGAATGTGGTGCTCCAATGAAACAACTTCGTGCTATTTGTGAACAAAACAAAGCAAAAGGGTATTGGCTTTTTTTTAAGTGAAATTCTTTAATAACCCTATTTTTTGATTTAAAAAATATTTGAAATTTCAGATCTCCATTATACCTTTATACGGTATTATTTGGCAGTGATAATAATAGTGGTTCTTTAAAAAAAATGGCAAATATTGCACAATCTTATCATCTTACAAATACTTCATCAGATGTACTACAGTGTCAATTTACTCATACTATTAATGAGATTAAATTAATTGACCATTTTAATGAAATAGCAGAAAGCTTAAGAAAACACAAACCATCTTTATTAAAGAAAGTATAATATACACAATAATTTTGTAGAAATTATTTATTTTCATATGATGATGCTTAATTTCCGAGATTTTATACAGCACAAAAAATTTATACTACAACTATTATGTTTATTTATATTTAATAGCTCTCATATTCTATTTCTTTTATTTGTTTTTAATTAATAAAATAAAGAACAATTTTATTAAAATTATTATTATATGAAATTCATTCCGGTGTTTTATATGAGCTTATTGCTTTCATCTGACATTCTTGTATTAAATTATCAATCCAGATGTTCATTTGGAAAACTTGTTTTTAAATAACTTCGAACACAATGTTCTTGGCTACAATTTTCACAATTCTAATTGTCCCTTCATTAAGCCTAATTTTATCTTCATAAACTTAATCAATATTCTTATTGCTTCAGATTTTTCATTTCTAGTACATTAAGAATTGTTTGTTTTTGAAATTCATATTTGTTGTGCACATTATTGTACATACCATAATCTATTAAAGCAAATTCTCTGTTAATAGCAGCATAAATAATTCTTCACGAATATCAGGCATGCTTATATTTTATTAAGAAATAAATTTGGAAACAAAAAAAAATTAGGAGAATAACGCATAACTCAAGTTAGTCGTACATCTTAATGACATATTGTAAATCAAAAAGTGCATTACCTAAACGAGAAAAAAAGTCTCATCAAAATACTATTTTCATAACTATTAGTAATTATTGCTGCTCAAATAATAATTCTCATAGGGAATACTTTCTCATAAAATTTTATTGAAACAGAATTTTTGGGAAAATTTATTCATCATGATATAGGTATGAGCACGTGATTTTACAGAATTTTTTGATTGACTAATTTTTCGATTTTGTTAAATTTAAAATTTAAACAAGTTTTATATTGCAATGGGTATTTTTATGATCATTGAATTCACTCTTTAAATTTCAAATGGAAATGACTCTAAAGTTGCTTTTAACGAAAATATATATATATATTTTTTTGTTGTAAATCTTTTTAATAAATTATGCTTATGTAACATACAGTATGAATGGTGGAACAATATCAATTTGTCAGCTGATCATTATACATTAATTGATTTGCAAATTTTTTTTTTTAAAAAAATTGAAATTCATTTCGACGATTCCCAGAAGTAAAGAAGAACATGAAGAACTTGATGAATTAAATAATAAATTTAGCGAGAGATTAGACAAAATGAAGGATAAAGAAGATTACATTTCAAAAGAAGTGACGACGAGTGAAGAAAAAGACAAATTTAACGAAAACAAAAAACGTGTTGTGACAACACAGGGACGAAGAGAAGACGATTCCGATAGCGAATAAACTTAAGTCTTAAAATAAACAAATTCGTCCTTAATGAATGAATAATTTTTAAGAAGTTTAAGGTCTTTGGATTTGCGTTCAGATTTGGTTGAAGATTAGCGCGGTCGAATATAGAATTCCGGCCGATTTTTGGATACATCTCTATCAAGAGCGTTGATTTAGGGATTTTATTTCTTAATACTTTATATTTAATTTCAATTTTTGTTTTGTTTTATTTTGTTTTTTAGATTTTATACAATTATGAGTGAATTTAAATTTTAAAGGTCAATATCGTAGTGTTTTAGTTTTTGAAAAATTAAGAAATTGAGAAAACATAGGATAATATTAAAAAATCAAAAAAAAAATTTAAAAAATATATATATAAAGTAGTAGCGTTTACACAATAGATAGATTTTAGAATTAGCAAATATTAATTTTTAGATTTGTCTTAGTTATTTTTTAGACTAGATTTGACTCAGTTATAGAGGGAAGTAGGTCTTATCTGCTCTTTCTAGGTGTTTTTGAATTTTATGTAACTATTTCTTTTGATTTGTTCATAAATAAAAAACGCGTTACTGTTTTTTTTTTAAAAAAAAAATTGAAATTCATTTAAACAAAAAAAAAGGAAGAAAATTCATTTACTCTTTTTTTTTTATTTATTAATTTAAACAGAAAAAGATGTCTAAACAATTTTTCCCAAATTTAAGTCAAAGTTATATGGAAATTTTGGAAGATGATGAAAATTATGATATTACTATTGAAGTTGGGAAGATCCACTGATCCAAACGTGAAAATATTCCGTTCACATGATAATCCTACGTCATCGTTCTCCATTTCTACGACGATCTCTGTCTTCCAATAAAATGAATGATAATAATGTTTTAGCTCACATAAAGTTGCCAAATATCTCACCAGAAATTTTTCAAATTATTTTAAAGTTTTACATTCTAATTTATACTTGCGCCTAAATAACTTTTATAATATAATTTTTTTTATGTTTAGATATATTTATGGCGGAATAATTTCTTTAAACGAGCAAGTACCTTCAGAAATTTTTTAAGAATATTGGTTGCTGCTGATCAACTTCATATTCGAGAACTAGTTGATTATTTATAAGAGTATTTAATTAAAAATAAAGTTGTATGGATGGAACAACATTTTGGATTAATTTATCGAGCAACTAAGTTTTCAACCCAATTCTTTATTAAATCTACAAATTTCTGTACAGATTGTATATCTAAATCTCATAAAATATTTAATTCGTTTGATTTTATCTCAATTTCTGAAAAGTCTTTGATTTCACTCATTAAAAGAGATGATTTACAAATGAAAGAAGCAGAAATTTGGGAACATGTATTAAGATGGGGACTTGAAAAAAATCCTACACTCCTTCCAGATTCCACAACTTGTCAGATGATGATTTCAAAATGATGGAACATACTTTGCAACATTGTTTACCCTTAATTAGATTTTTTAGTTTATCTTCTGAAGAATTCAAAAAGTTCATCCATATAACAACTTTTAAATTCCTATTTAAATCCGAATAGAAAATCAAATGATAATATTTTACTTCCCAGAAATAAAAATATTGATGGAATTATTAATTCAAAAATTGTAAATTTAAATATTGCTTCTTTAATTTCAAGATGGATTGATAAGTTAGATATTAAAAGCAGATACACTTGTACAAAAGAATTATATCTATAATATGAATTCAAACTATTGTTAAGAGGAAGTAGAGATGGATTTACTCCTAAGAAATTTCATGAATTATGTGATAATATACCTCATACTGTAATATTTATTAAAATAAAGAAATTATTGGGGATATAATCCTTTGAAATGGGAGTCACAAAATAATAAATGGGTGAAACTAAAGATAGTTTTATATTTTCTTTTAAAGTAAGTATAATTTTAAAGACCCAATTTTAAGTTAAATTATGCATTATTTTATCATGTTGAATGTGGCTCTACATTTGGTAATGATATTAATATTGTGTTTGCGAGTGGTGATTTATATGACCGTTGTTGGTGTAAACAACATTATTATGAAAAAAAGATTAGAACAGAATCTTCATTTTCAATAGAAGATTATGAAGTATTTCAAATTTTTAAATAGAAATATCTAATACCCATAAACTGTAATTCACAAAATTTATTATTTTCTTACCATTTATTATATATTTCAATGAAAATTTAGTTTTTTAAGGGTTTATAAATAGCTACTTAATGCAAGAACTTTTGGCGTATATTGTACTCGTTCTTTATAACCTTTTAATTATTGCATTATATTTTAACAGTATATACTATAATTTATGCTTGAAATTTATTTTATCTATTAGTATTTTACAAATAATTTACTATTTTTTCATTAATTTTTAAAAAGAAAGAAAATTTATGCAATATTTGATTATTTATACGAATTTAAGGACCAATTAAACTTGTTAAGAAAGTCTAGTAGCTGATTTTAAAAAATTCATATTTATTGATTAAACGGTCAATTAATTAGTGACATATTTAATAAAATTATTAAGTTATGATAAGGAATGATGGCAATAAAAAATATTATCTCATTTTTTTGCCATTTGTCTCATACTTTGTCAGTATAGTAAACAGTATAATATATAGCCATTATAATATTATTAATACATAATTATTTTTTATTAATAAATTACAGAATATTGGACAAAATTGTAAAAATCGAAATTTTAAAATTTTAAAATTGATTTTTCAAAACTTCTTTTTATAATTTCCCTTTATGGTAAATTTCTTGGATTGATTTTATGCGTTTATTTATTAAAATCAAATGAAAAATTCTTAATTTTCAGGTTAAAAAAATTTAACAGTCGTTTTTTTTTAAAAAAAAACAAAAATGACAATACTTGGCCATTTACATTTGAAAAACCGAAAATTTTTTTTTTAAATGAAAACAAAAAATATTTATTTTATCAAAAAAAGTCTGGAATCCCTATAAAAAATTTTTATCCGAATATTTCCATTATTTCTCCATGTCTTTCGTAAAAATTCCGTGAAAATGATACATTCACGGATATCCGTGTTAGCGAGATGAAAATTTCCATGATTTAAGGCTATTAATTCCATGAAAATGATACATTCACGGAAAAAACATGGAAAGATAAAACACGGATCAGATTTTTTACAGGGAATTCATCTTTTTTAAATAAAAAACGAAAATTAACAGATTTTTTTATTAAAAGATTTCTAATACACCTTTTAAATAAAATGAAAAAAGGTTATTTTATTAAAAATCAAGAACTGTTTTTTTTTTAGAAATATATTATGGAAGTTTTGTGGTAATTTATTATATATGTATTAGTGCTAATTGAATTCTGTAGTACCTTTATAGGTAAGATATAAAAAAAGTTATATTTTTACAAATTTAGGTTAGAATTGTTTTACCAATCATATTTAAAACGATTAATCAGTTATTTTTATAATAACAAATTAAGAATTTGTAGTAAAATAAAAAACAGTATTTTTCATATCGTAGGATGAACTCTCATTGCTAGGCATGCCATTAAATGCTGAAAATAAAAAAATTTGATTACAATAATGGTCAAAACCTAATGTTAATCAATAGTGTTAACTTACCCGTGATGGGCGGGTATCCGGGTGGTAATAATTTTCACCCGGGTGGAGGCAGGTGGGTCAACCGTCAGGTCAATCTGGCAGATTACCCGTCGGGTCACCTGTATAGTCCTTGTTTGTTGATTAAATTTTTTTATTGATTAATGTAAATCATTAAATCATTTAAAAGTTCCCGTTTAGTCTGCTTGCTTTTTGATCTAGTATCAACTATCAAATGCTTTTGTTTATTAACACTGATTCCGATTCCTAAATAATTAAAATCTCTAAGTAAGACAATATAATTTGAATTATTTTGATATTATATATATAAGTAATAACGGAATTAAATAAATAACCTACGTGCTATATTATTAAATAATTTTTAAATAAAGAATTTAGTTAATAGATTTATTAATGCCAAAACATTTATATTTACAAGAAATTTAGCCAAAGTTTCTAATTGTTGGTTAGAAAAATTTAAGGGAAATAATATATTGAAAATATCATTTATAATGAAGTTAAATCGGAAGTGCACAAATGGTTATCTATTTAGAAGAGAAAATAAACAATGGTTAATTGGTAATTTGAGACGTACTAAAGCTCAAGTTAATTTTAATCTCCTCCTAGTACATTAACGATTTTAAATTATAAAATTGTCATTAATAACAATATTGATTATTAATAAATAATATTTATTTTTAGGATAAGTACTAATTTATAAAACAACATCCATTTATAAAATTGATATCTGATATTTTAAATAACAACTAAATAATTAATCAATTTCATTTATAAATCTATTAACATCAGTAAATAAATCAATATATTTTAGAACTATAATATTATGTAACTTAAATTCCTTCACTTCATCTTTAAAATTAGACAAATTTACATCTGCCCTATTGCGTATAGTATTCTTAATTGCCAAATATTGGACTCTTTTCTTCTTCATAATATATTCTTTTATATAAGGTAAAATATCAATATCATCACTATATTCTCGTACCAAATTACTAATTAAAAATTTTTTAAAGAAAGTATCTTGAGAATTTTTTAAGAATACTTCAAAATCATTTACTTTAATCAAGCGAAGAGCCAAACTTAAATATTCAAGTTTAGAAGGGAGTATTTGTCCTAAATTTTGTAATATTAGCTCATTTTGACAATTTCCTACATTGATTGAAAGATAATTAAGACTTTGGTTAATATTTTCAATCAAACCAAACATTTTAGAAGTAATGTGACTTTCAATTCCATATAAGTCAAGAAATTTGATATTTATGCAATATTTCATAATTAATTCTAAGTGCCGTTGTTGAACTTCAAATTCGTAACTCCCGCATTTGAAATTTTCTAAATAATTCCCATATTTTTGTAATAATGATTGTAATGAATCAGTTGGCAGATTCACCCTTATAAATAAAGATTTTAGTTTAAGTGGTTTGGTTAAGTTAGTAATTTGTTGAATAAAATTATCTAAAGTAGAACAATAAATGATATGAACAGATTCTAAAACATTTAAATTTTCAAATACATTAACTAAATTATTTATACCATTAAAACTGACTCGACAAAAAATGATTGTATTTAAGGTATTTGAGCAATTAAATTCTTTTGATAATACTAATGATTGATACAAAGATAAACTCTTATGACCAAATAAAATTCTTTTAAGATTTTGATGTAAGCCAATTATTTGTGATATATAATTTTTAATTAACGCATTTTTACAATGATTATTTTCAGCAGAAAGGCTTAAATTTCTAATATTATGAATGAAATTAGGATTTTGTAAAATTATCTCAGAAATATCAACATAAACATTATAATATTTGTAGAAAGCTGCGCTTATCCCAATTTCCAAAGTATGTAAATTTACTTCATTTTCAATAAATAATTTAATTAGTGACATATTAATTAATTTTTCAAATTCAAATACCGATGCTAAAATTGAATTATATGTTACCAAATTTACTGAATTTGAAGCTTTATAATTAGCTTTTAACCACCTCTCAATAGAAAGAGCAATTTTATATATGTTCAAATATTTTATAAAACTAGGATAATTAAAAAGTGTATTTGAAGGTAATAAATAATTAATAATTTGATAATCATTTATTTTTGTTTTTAAATAATCATTTAAATTATATAAGTAAACTTCAATAAAATTATAATTTCCGGTAGTAATTGAAAATGGATTTTCCCATAATAATGGGATCGCTAGACGACACCATAATCTATTAACTAAAATACATGAATGTAAGGTTGAATAATCATTCTGAAAATTTTTGATGATTTCATATATTAATTCAGGTAAATCTCCTGAAAATATTTTTGAACATGACATATTGTAAACGAAAAGAAGGAAAAAAAATAGGGGTGTGGCGTATCATTTTATTGTAAGAGTATAAATTTATATTCCATTTTTGATTCAGATATTGTCACACAATTAATTTCGTGCGACATGTTTTAATAATTAGGCGCGCTGATCATTTCGTATGTATACTTGTATAATATGAATAATTAATTGATAATCCCATCTTTTTTTCTTTTTTTCCTCATAATTATTAATTACTGCTAAGATTAATTAATATTGACAATAAAGTAATTACAGTATCTGCCATTAATAATATATTACAAGGCTATAGCGAAAAACTAACGAGCGAAACTCATGGTCCCTATAAAAATTTTTAAATTTTTAGAAAATTAATCACATATCGGAGTTTTTAAAAAAATGATCATTTATCGGAATTTTTCCCAGAAAATTTTCTATAGGGGATGTAACTAATCCACAATTTAACCTAGATTTCTTTATAAAAATATTATAACAATGCATTATAACTTTTTTTTTATAATTTTTTTTTGACTTTCAAGATCTTACTTGAAAGAATTATTGCTTCTGCAAATAATTAAGAAAGCTTATAATAGCTTTTTTCCTTCTGTTGGCGCAAAAATAATAAATTTCACTGATTTATGGCCGGATCTTGAGTTAAATAATTTCAATATATAGTATTAACAGAAACAAACATTATACAAGGACCCAAAAATAAGGTCCAGCCAAAAAATGTTGCTATTGGCTGATTAGGCCGTACACATTTTTTCAGGGCCGGAATTATTATAGTGTCAGACTGTTACTAAAACAGGAAATAGGATTCTGGCCAACATTATCAAAAATTGTCTAAAAAAGGAAAGATTTACATGATTATTTTGACCTATCGTGATTAATACGACAAAATTATGTCTTTTATATCACATCAACATGTGATGATTTTGGCAAAACAAAGTGTCCGGATAATTTTGGCCGCCCTTTGTAATTAGAGCTCCAAATTGGATCAAACTCAAACGATGGGCTAAATCGTAATAGATTTTTGACCTCCCTTTGAGCTGGGTAACTTTATAATAAGATTAACATACAGTATATAACAATGTAATATTTTACTTTGTCATAATTTTATAACATACTACATACAAATCATCTATTTATTTTTCATATAGTTTATAAATACTTTATTTATAAGATTTTAATCAAAATATACAATAAGATATCATACTATAGTAATGTAAAAGAAAATAAATAGTAAATGTAAAGAATTTATACCCAAGTTCCTTTATCTTTCATTCAGTTACTTTTATCTATAAGTAAAAAATAAATTATTAAATAATAATATTATTAATAAAATAAATCATGTAATTAGTTAATACCTAGGTTTAGTTTAGTAAAATCTATCACTTCTATTGATTCTATAATAAAAAAAATAATTATATATATCAATGAAGTATTTGAAGAATTTTCTTTTGTAAATAAATTGGGAAATTAATTACCTGAATATTCTCCAAATGAATCATCATCATCCTTGTTATCAATAGAATTTTTTGGTTTTGGAAGATTTTTAAAATCCAAAAGTCTACTTGTGTAAACTGCTTGAGGATTTGTAGTATATGAAAGAGTAGGACCAGTATATAATGATGATGATGATGTTAACTTCTCATTAATTTTATCTGCGTCTTCAATTTGCTTATTGATTTCACGATCACTCCGAAATTTACTTGAAAAATGTAATTCATATAATAAATCTTTTATTTCTTTTGCTTTAGGTCGTTTTAAAGGATCAGCATCCCAACATTGTTTAATTATGTTTAGAATTAATTGAGGAATTTTATAATTTGATTTTGGCCTAAGTCCTTAACAAATACTAATAGATAAGAATTTATCATGAACAATATCATGATAAGGAGGAAGCCCTGTACAGACTTCATATGCAATAATTCCAAATCCATATATATCACTTTCTTGAGTATATTCATTTCCTCTTAAAACTTCTGGTGCTACATAGGGTAATACACCATATAATTCTTTACATTCATTTTGAGATGGTTTTACATTTACTGGTCGACATAATCCAAAATCAGTAATGAAAGTATAGCGGCTATCTTTTAATATATTACCACAATGAAAATCACGATGAATTGATCCATTTTCATGAATATAAACGAGGCCTTGTGCAATATCTTGTAAAGTTTCCAATTTTTCAACCCATTTTGTTGAATTAAAACTATTATTTAAATGTTGTCTTAAACTACCATTTATTACATATCCCATTACTAACATAAAATTTTTAGATTCTGGATCCTTAGTAATGCCATAACAGGGTGTTATATTAAATACACTTTTTGAAAAAAACATAATATGGGCTTCAATCTAAAAAAAAAAAAAAGAATCCATAATAACAATAATTAATGGACAGTTTAACATTTATAATAATATCTTGTAAATTATATAATAATAAATAACTTACTTCTCCTAAAAAATCGGATGTAATATCTTGAGAATTATGTAAGCATTTTAACACAACAGGAAAATTCTCATAATCCCTACAATAATTTTTACTTCTTCTCCATTTATTATTTTCAAAATCCCAACTGTATATCCATCCATCCTTCCAAATTGCTTTATAAATAGTTCCAAACCCTCCTTTTGCCAAGTATTCAACATTTTCAAATCTATCATATTCAATCCATTCTAAAACACAATTATAATCTTTAGCTTTAAGTTGTGTTTTTTGAATAAACTTATCAACTTTATAATTTCCACTGGTCCAGTTTTTGAAATTTTGTTGAAATTTACATTGACACCAATAATAAGAAGCTCTAGGTTGCTTACAATCTTTGCATAAACCATTTCCTTTATAACGTAATTTTAATTCTTCATTTAATATCAGCTTATCAATTAGCAAACTTTGTTCTTCAGTTAGACTATTATAGACAAAATCTTTTATTTGCTCAAATACATCATCAGTGAGCATAAATTCTTCCATATTGGGATTAATAAATGTGACTTCAATTTTATGTTTAAATAGAGTAAAAAAGATTATTTAATTTTTTTAAAAGAAAAGGTGGTCTTTTAAAACGTAATACAGTTGCACAACAGCTGATTGACAAAACCCATTTTTAAAACAATAAAGCGTTCAAGAAGTCAGCTGATGATCACAGAAATCACAGATTATTAAAGTAAGAAATTTCCTTTTTCAAAAAATCACAAAAAAAAAAAAGCTTTGTCGATCATCTAACACCACACCAAATTATTTCATTATTATATACTTTATTTTTTGAAAAATACATTCAATCAATATCATTATATGCATTAAAAATCATGATAGATTAAAAAATGTATTATCCAATCAGTTTAGTTATGTACAATAAAGTAGTATAAAACCAAAAGGAATATTTTGCCATTATTATGTGAAGGAAATTCATATTATTAACGAATATAACTTGTAAATAAAGATAATTAATTATGACTTAAAATTTTCATCTATTTTAACAACATTTTTTTCTAATAACTTGAAATTTTATTGTTAAAACAAATTGGTATTAAATGACATAAATGTTTTCTCAAAATTCAAAAATATAATAACTAATTTAATAATGTCAAAAGTAGTTATTCTTAAAGATACTATAAATTATTTTAGTAAATCAGAAAGTTGACTTTAAAATAATGACTGCGCTGTTTAATACTTTAGTTATCATTATCTATGGAAAATTATTACAAAAAATTATTATTATTGTAATAAATAAAATAAGAAAGGAAGTTATTTGAAAATATTATAAGCGGATAAAAATGGGAGGCAGTCAGTATTTCCAAATATGGACATGTGAACAAAGTAACTTTTAAAATAACTAAAACAAGTAAATGTTATATATGACAGTAAACTTTAACAAAATTTTATTATAATTAGATTTAAATGTTCTGAAAAAAATAAAATTTGAAATATTAATTGAAAGATTAACAAAATAAAACTGATTGGTAATCAATTATTGCTTAAAAAAAAAGATGGTAAAATTTCGGTATCTGCTGAGCACGCTCAGGTTGCTTCTATTATCATATGCAAATCCCTGGCCGAACCTAAAGAAAAAAAATGAAGTGAATAATTTTTCACTAACTGTACCTAAATTACACTACTTTTATATAGATTTATATGAAAAAATCTATGTGAAAGTTACCTATAACTATTCTATATAGTTTTAAGGATCATTCAATTAATATATACTGTAAAAATATAATTTATTTTAAATAAGCTTTAAGAGATAATAAAAATAGTTAATACAAAAGCTCAAGTTAATTTTAGTCCCCTTCTACTAGTACATTACTGTCATGAATAATAAAAATACTTAATTAATAATAAATGAATATTTATTTTTAGAAAAAATATTTCTATCTGATATTTTAAATTTTTATAACTAAAAAATTTGTTTGATAGTCCCCGTATAAATAATTTGAATCCGTCTATGGTCAAAAACTATTCGATCCGTGTGCATTCCAATCAACTAATCCAATTTCGGTTAATGAAATTTTATAATCGGAATTTTTTTTTGATTATTAATTTTTTTTATCAAACTGAAAGGAGAAAAGGAAGAAAAATTTTTTTTCGGTTTGAAAAATTTAAAAAAAAAGGAACCAAAAAAATTCTGGTTTTTTTTTCAAATCGAAAAAATTTGTTTTTTCTCATTCTTTTCCCGTTTAGGTTTAAATTTTTTTCCTAAACTAAAAAATTATTTCTTTTTATTAAATTAAATAATCCTATTTTATTGGTCTTTTAAGACCGATTTTTTTGTATTATTTTTTATCGATCTTTTTTTAGACCGTATTATTATTTTTTAAAAAATTTTTTTTTTTTCAGTCTTTTTGGATCAGAATGTTTTTCAGTACTTATTTTTTTTTTTTGGATTCCTTTTTTTTCGAAAATTTCCCTTTTTTTAAGCGATTTTTTTTCATTAGTACTGAACCAATTACATTGTAATTAAATCATACACAGTACATGTAGTATGTCAACAAAGTATCTATTTTCTATTAAAATTATATTGAAACCTACTTGAAACTTGTAATTACTAAAATTACTTTATATAAATTTCATTTCCGGTCCTCTTTCGATCTTTAAAAAAAAAATTTTTTTCAACCCATTTTTTTTATTTGTTTTTTTTCAACCCATTTTTTTTGTTTTTTTTTTTAAACCAATTTTTTTTTTGATATTTTTTACAGTTTTTTTTAAAGTTATTTTTTTTAATTTTTTTCTTTTTTNTTTTCATTGGTACTGAACCAATTACATTGTAATTAAATCATACACAGTACATGTAGTATGTCAACAAAGTATCTATTTTCTATTAAAATTATATTGAAACCTACTTGAAACTTGTAATTACTAAAATTACTTTATATAAATTTCATTTCCGGTCCTCTTTCGATCTTTAAAAAAAAAATTTTTTTCAACCCATTTTTTTTATTTGTTTTTTTTCAACCCATTTTTTTTGTTTTTTTTTTTAAACCAATTTTTTTTTTGATATTTTTTACAGTTTTTTTTAAAGTTATTTTTTTTAATTTTTTTCTTTTTTCTTTTAAAAGCAAACCTTTCCGTGCTTACGGCGGGCCATAGTTTTCCGACTCACCCTTTCCTTTTTTGGTTTGTTATTTCTAAAACTGAAAATTATTTTTCAAATATTTTTAATTTTCCTTTATAATCCATACTATTTTTTTTATATAATTTTTTCCATATATTTTTTTTTAATTATTGTTATATAAGTATATTATTGTTTATTTTATTTTTTTAGACTTGAATCTAGATCAGTGATCGGATTAACGCTATGGCATTTCGCCGTTACGGTCACGCCTTTTTTTCCGATTCTTATTTTTAATAATAATTATTTTTCCTAATTACCGTATTTTTTTGCTAAAATTTTTTTTATTTTTTCAAGCACAGTAATATAATTATTTTATTATATAAACCAATATTTTTTTAATTGTAAATAAAAAAAAAAACTATTCAACCCAATGACTATCCATTTAATCACTAAAAAATTTATAGATTTTATATATATATCTCTACTTATTTATATATTATTTTTATGTGCATAATTTATTATCTGTTATATATAACGTAAATCCCAGTGCGAAGCAACGGGTGACTGCTAATAATAACTAAATAATTAATCAATTTCATTTACAAATCTGTAAATACCAGTAGATAAATTAGCATATTTTAGAACTTTAATATTATGTAACTTAAATTCCTTCACTTGTTCTTTCGAATCAAACAAATCTTCATCGTTCCTATTAAAATCAATAATGGATAAAGTAGTCTTAATAGCCAAATATTTGACTCTTTTCTTCTTCATAATATGTTCTTTTATATAAGGTAAAATATTTATTAATCCTTCCACCATATTATTAATTACCAATTTCTCAACCAAAGTATTTTGAGAATTTTTTAAGAATACTTCAAAATCACTTGTTTTAATGTGAAGAACCAAACTTAAATATTCAAGCCTAGAAGGAAGTATTTGTCCTAAATTTTGTAATATTAACTCGTTATTACCATTCCCTACATTGATTGAAAGATGATTAAGATTTTGTTTGATATTTTCAATTAAACCGAACACTTGAGAAGTAATTTGGCTTCCAATTCTATATAAATCAAGAAATTTGATATTTCTGCAATATTTTATAGTTAATTCTAATGATTGTTGTGTTAATGACCGATCAAATTCATAACAGATATCTTCTAAATAATCCCCGTATCCAAAATTTTCTAAATAATTCCCATATTTTTGTAATAATGATTGTAATAAATCAATTTGAAAATTCCCGGTTATAAATAAAGATTTTAGTTTAAATGGTTTGCTTAAGTTAATAATTTGTTGAATAAAACTATCTAAAGAAAAACAATAAATGATATGAACAGATTCTAAAACATTTAAATTTTCAATTACTTTAACTAAATTATTAATTCTATCATTAAAATTGACATAATAGAAAATGATTGTGCTTAAGGTATTTGAACAATTAGATTCTTTTGATAATAATAATGATTGATATAAAGATAAACTATCATGACCTAATAAAATTCTTTTAAGATTTTGATGTGAATTAATTATTTGTGATATACGATATTCAATTAGCGTATTAGAAGTTAAAATAGAAAATTCAAAATTCTTAATATTGTTAATTAAGTTTGGATTTTTCAAAATTATCTCAAGAATATTATTAATATATGCAATAAAATAAGTACTAATAGTAATTTTAAGAGTATGTAAATTTATTTCATTATCAATAAATAATTTAATTAATGACATACTAATTAATTCTTTAAATTCATATACTGATTGAAAAACTAAATTTGAAGTTTTATCATTAGTTTCTAACCACATTTCAATATAATGAGTAATTTTAAATACGTCCAAATATCTTATAAAACTAGGATAATTGAAAAGTGTATTCGAAGGTAATAAATGATCAATAATTTGATAATCATTTATTTTAGTTTTTAAACAATCATTCAAATTATACAAGTAAACTTCAATAAAATTATAATTTCCGGTAGGAGTTAAAAATGGATTTTCCCATAATAATGGAATTGCCAAACGACACCATAATCTATTAACTAAAACACATGAGTGTAAGGTTGAATAATCATTCTGAAAATTTTTGATGATTCCATATACTAATTCAGGTAAATCTCCTAAAAATATTTTTGAACATGACATATTGTAAATGAAAGGACGAAAAATAGTGGTGTGTCATTTTATTGTAAGGTCAAAAGGAGTAAATTTATATTCCATTTTTAGTGATATCGTCGCACAATTAATGCCAATTAATTGTGTAACATTTTTTAATAATTAGGCGCAGTTTTATTAAATAACTGCATCCGGTAAAAATGTATTGTGCAGATCACTAGATTTTTATTTTACCTTTACTACCTTTGTTTATGCAACTAGAAAAAAATTAAAATTTTATATAAATCAATAAAGCGTGTCTTCTGCCGTTATTATTAAGAATTCCGAGCTAATTCTACGTCGGATCCAATGGGAACCGGGCGAAAATTAGCATAACCGAATTTGATTTGTACAGCAGAGTACAAAATTCAGCCCTAAATGGCGTGTAAATCACGATGATCATTTTTTTAAATTCTGGTAACCTTTTTTGTTTCACTACCCGATTACCCGTAAAAATAAATCCATTTAAAAAAAATGAGCATATTAAATAATAAAACTCAGGTTTCAATAGAGTCAAAATTAAGTGTCTCAGACATAGACTCCAGCCATAAATATTGTTCTTGCTGTAATCAACCTTTTATTGAAGAATTATGGTGTAAAAAATGTGACCCATACAAAATAATTGAAGGATGGACAAGCGAAAATCTTGATATTGATAAATTCATTAAAGATACGATGTACTCAAGAAAATATGGAACATGGCTTGAATGGGTACCATTTGATAGGTTTATAAATGTAGAACAAATTGGCGAAGGCGGATTTTCCAAAGTTTATTCTGCAACATGGATAGATGGTAAGGCAGATTACAAATATGAATATGGAAATTGGAAAAAATTAGATCCTAAGCCAATTAAAGTTGCTTTGAAAAGATTGAATGGTTCACATGAATTGTCAATTGAATATTTAAATGAGGTATGTTTATTATTTTTTTTTTTATTTTAAAATTTAAATTATTTTTCGTCAATTTTACTTAAAAATTTTTATAGCTTAAAATACATTGGAATGTTTATTTAAAAGAAAATTTTTCTTTGGGATTTTATGGAATGACTAAAGATCCAGTAACTAAAGAATTTATGATGATTATTGAATTTGCAAGTGGAGGAAATCTGAAAAGTATTTTTTTAAATGAATTTATGATTCTTTGGGATGATAAAATTAGAATTTTAGGTCATTTAATTTTGGGGCTTAATAACTTACACAAATTAGGATATTCCCACAAAAATCTTCATAGTGGAAATATTTTATTCCGTTATGATGATTATTTTAAATGTTTTAATACTTATATTTCGGATTTTGAATTAAATGGACCAGCAAATAAACAAAAATCTGATAATAAAATATATGGTGTATTACCATATATTGCTCCTGAAGTTTTAAATGGAAAACCATACACACTATTTTCAGATATTTATAGTTTTGGTATAATTATGTCCGAATTATCATCTGGAAAACCACCTTTTTATGATAGAGAATACGATTCGAATTTGGCATTAGATATATGTAATGGACTCAGACCAGAATTTGAAAAAGGAACTCCTGAAATTTATAAGAATCTAGCTTATAGATGTATGAATTCTAATCCTAAACAAAGACCAAAAGCAGATGAATTAAGTAAAATTTTAATATTTTGGTATCATTCTATTAATGGTGAAATGTTTAGTTATAAAGGAAGTAAAGTTGAAGCTATATTTGAAGAAGATAATAAAGAACTACGAGAGATTCCATCTACATATGGAAAGAATCATTCTAATATATATATTAGTCAAGAATTTTCATTTAGCAAATTACCAAATCCTAGTAATTCATCTATTACTAATTCCTATTTTGAAGAAAATATGAACAATGAAGGTTAGTTAAAAATTGAATGTTAATCTTATAGTTAAAATGATAATTAATATTTTTTGTTATATCACGCTGTAAAGGTATATCAGACAAGTATGAAAATTGTTCTTATTGTAATAAATCAATTACTGAAGAATTATGGTGTAATGAATGCGATCCTCATTATATGATTGGTGGATGGACCAGTGGAATTCCTGATATTGATAAGTTTATAAAAGATACAATGTACAACGCAAGAAATTATAATTATTGCTTTCTTGAATGGATAGTATTTGATAGATTTACAGGTATAAAACAAATTTGTGAAGACGAATTAGCAAAAGTGTATACTGCAACATGGATAGATGGTAAATCAGAATTTAATAATGAAAGTTGGAAAAAATATGAATTTAAATCTATGGAAATTATTTTGAAAAGTTTAGATGAATCACAGAATATGTCACCTAAATGTTTAAATGAGGTATGTTTCATTAAATTTATATGTACTTTTCAATTTTGGTTACTTCAGCTCTTATAACACTTTTTATGATTTTAGCTTAAATTTTACTGGAATTTAAGTAAAAAGTATAAAGTGAATACTACATTTAAATTTTATGGAATTACTAAAAATCCAAAAACTAAAGAAATTATGATAGTAATAGAATTGACAAATTTAAAAAGTTTGAGAAATGTTCTTACAAATGATTTTAAGAACATTTTATGGAAGGATAAAATTTGTTTATTGCAGAATTTGGCATTTTATCTTAAATATTTACATGAACTAAACTATTTTTGTAAAGTTCTCCATTGTGGTGATTATTCTTGGATTTTAAATTTTGAATTGTTTGAGCAGGCAAATGAACAAAAATTAGGTCTTTTACCATATATCGCTCCAGAAGTTTTAAATGGAGATCCATATACATTTTTTTCTGATATTTATAGTTTTGGTATAGTTATGACTGAATTATCATCTGGAAAGCCGCCATATTATAATAGAAGTCATGACTCAAATTTAGCAACAGATATATGTATTGGACTTAGACCAGAATTTGAAAAAGGAACTCCAGAAATTTATAAGGAATTAGCATATAAATGTATGAATGCTAATTCAATTGAAAGACCAAAAACTGATGAATTATATCAAATTTTAGACTTTTGGAATGATATTCTTAATGGTAAAGTTTTAGGATATATAGGAAAAGAAATCGAAGTTATGTTTGAGAATGCTGATAAAGAAATACCAAATATTTCAACTTTATATGAAAAGAATCCAGATGCTAAATATACTAGTCAAGTATTTACATTTAGCAATTTGCCAAAACCTGTTAATTCATCTATTGTTATTTCATATCTTAAAGGAACAAATAATAAAGGTATTATATCATATTTTATTTATTTAATTTATATTAATATTAATATTTCTTTGTTACTTTTGTCATATATCAGAAAATAATCAGGCTGATAATAAGATATGTTCTTATTGTCATAAACTATTTATTGAAAAATTATGGTGCAAAGAATGTGACCCATACTGTATGATAGAAGGATGGACTAGTGGAAATTTAAGCATTGATAAATTTATTAAAGGTTCAATTTATAATGCAAGACAAAGTTCAAATTCTAAGTTTCTTGAGTGGGTATCATTTAATAGATTTACAGATATAGACCAAATTGGCAAGGGTGGATTTGCCAAAGTATATTCTGCAATATGGATTGATGGTAAATCAAAATATGAAAAACTAAATGATGGGAGCTGGAAAAAATTAGAATCTAAGCCTACAAAAGTTGCTTTGAAAAAGTTAAATGGATCACAGAATATATCATCTAAATATTTAAATGAGGTATTTATATACATGCTGTATATATATGTACATATACTATATATATTTCAATATCTAATGACAATTAATTATTTTTATTTAATTCTTATATTAAATAACAGCTTGAAATATATTGGAATTTTTATTTAGAAAGCTTTAATTATTTAGATTTTTATGGAATAACCAGAGATCCAACGACTAATGAATTTGCAATGATTTTAGAATTTGCAAATAATGGAAATTTGAGAAATGCTCTCTCATATAAATTTAATAGTATTTTATGGAAAGATAAAATTTTGTTGTTATATGATTTGGTTGTTGATCTTAGCAATATGCATAAATTGGGATATTTTCATAAAGATCTACATAGTGGAAATATATTGCTAAAAGATAGATTATCATATATTTCAGATTTTGGATTATCTGTGCCAGCAAATGAACAAAAATCAGATAATAAAGTGTATGGTGTATTGCCATATATTGCCCCAGAAGTTTTAAACAAAGAGCCATACACTTCGTCATCTGATATTTATAGTTTTGGTATAATTATGATCGAGTTATCATTTGGAAAACCACCATTTTACAATAGAAAACATGACTTACACTTAGCATTAGCTATATGTGATGGACTCAGACCTGAATTTGGGAAAGGAACACCTGAGGTTTATAAGAAATTAGCATATAGATGTACAAATGCTAATTCAATTAAAAGACCAACAGCTGATGAATTATTCGATATAATGGAACTCTGGCATAGATCTATTATCTTTGGAGAAAATTTTAGTTATAATGGAAAAGAAATTAAAGCCATACTTGAAGAGGCTGATATAGAAATACCAAATATTTCAACCTTTTACGAAAAAGATCCTGATGCTATATATACCAGCCGAGAACTCACTTTTAATAACCTATCAAAACCCATTAATTCCTCTATTATTAGTTCATATCTTCAAGAGGACAAAATTAATGAAGGTACTATTGATTTAAAGTTTATTATAAATTTATTGATAATTAACCTATTATTTTTTTTATTTAGCAACCTATCATGATTCTCAATTAGCTGATTTAGATTTTAAGAGGTAATATTATATAATTATAATATGCACTTTTTAAGTAAAATATTATTGATTTATATCTTTAAATTTAGATTTTTGTGAGACGGCCTCTTCAGATAAGGTAATGATATTCAAATTAAGATAGTATGTCATATGTTAAGAAAAATTTTGTTTGCGATTATGTTAAGTAAATAAATAAAATTTATTACATTTTTTATAAAACATCATTTTTTTTTTATTTAATATATTTGAAAAATATCGTTTTCTTTTAAATAGCAAATTACAAAGATAACACTAAATACTTATCGCATTATCGTATAATTATAACTGACAAATTAAAATTTCAATATTTAATAAAAATTCTTTTTATGATAAAACTAAAAACATATACTGTATGTTTATTATTTGAATCTTTTAGATGACAATGGAAAAAAAAATAATAACTTAATTTTTTATTTAAGAGAAATTAAAAAATGATGTATTAATAAATAAAATATCCAATACTATTTAAAGCATTAGTAATTAGTTATCTGTATGATTTATTTCTTTTGTATTATAAGTAATTTAATTATAGGGTTGGATTGGTCTCAACAAAGACCGGTCCTGCACTCCTGCATTGGTCTTGAAACCGATCTTCACGGTCTTCGGTCTAACTGGTCCGGACCAGGACTGATCGTTTGATTTTTTTGTATACAATAAAAATGAGCCTAAATTTTGTGCTCATCTATTTCTATTTTGGATTTAATTCCAAATTTTCGAAATGATTTTATTTATAATAAAGTTATATAAAACTTTTTAAAATGGCGGAGTTCTACAAAATGTTTTGTTACCTTGTCGGACCATTTTCTGAATACCAATTTCCTGAATATACCTTTTCCCGAATCCAATTTTCTGAATGCCTATTTCCAGAAATTGATCATTTCCTGAAATTTTATTTTACTGAATGCCAATTTCCTGAATCTCAATTTCTGGAATTATATGAAACATCCAATTTCCCGAATTCTTTATCCTGAATTATTTTATCCCAAATTCCAATATCATGAACCTTGATATTCTGAATGGACATTTTACTGAATTTAATATTATTTTGTATAATTTTACATCATTAAATTAGAATTATTAATTTCATAGACTCAACCTTTATTTTATTTAGTATACTAATCAATAAATTATATATAATGTATATAAATATAATATGTAATAAACTAACTTGTATTAAAACAAATACTCAAAATAAATAATGCAAAAGCGAGCAGATTTTATTATTCAGTCAAAGTATCTGTTTAAAATTTGTACCTGTACCAAATCTTTTTCTCCTAAAATGTAAATTAATTATATTTACTTGATGTTTAAGAAAATATTATCAACTCAATGGGTCCGAGAAAAATTTTATTAGCTAAAAATGCAATATTTCCTAATTGTTTACTTCATATTTACTTCAATTGATCGTAATACTTGTACAGGCAAGGGATGCTTGAAATAGCCACTCCCCAAATTACATAATTATGACAAATAAAATTCATATTCAATTGTTTTATATAAAATGGTAGAAATCAGTCTTTATCAATAGTTCTTATTTTTTAAATTTATTATATAGTTTATTTATAAATCATATGAGAAAATATACAATTTATTATATAATTCAAGAAATTGTCCATTCAGAATATTAGAATTCGGAATATTAGAATCAAGGATATTTGAATTCGGGATATTGGGATTCAGGATATTGGGATTTAGGATTCGGGAAATTAGACTTCAGGAAATGGCATTCAGGCAAATGACTTCGGGAAAAGATATATTCAGGAAAAAGGCATTCAGGAAATCGTACTGTAACCGTTTTGTTATTACTATGATTGTAACTCCAGTTACAATCCCTGATCCCAATTTCTAATTTAAATTCTTTGCCAATTTAAATCACACGTTTTGTTGATTAAATATTTCATTATTTCTTACTTAAGCACATACGCGAACTTCCAACCATCTCAATATGTGTATAAATTACAATGAGAAAAAGCAAAGACAATTATTCAGAAGATGAATGTAACGATGCTACTGAACTTGAAGTCAAATAAGAAACTAGTATAGATATATATCCAAGGACAAAACTCGTTGCTGAAGACGAATATTAACCCATACTGAAAGATGAGTATGGCTTAAGATGAAGGTGAATTGCTAAAACTTTGACAAATTTTTTTAACTAAACCTTTTCATTCATCAGTAAAATATTTGGCATTGGTATCTATAAGAATTCTCTCAATTTGTGTAGAATCCTTAAGGATCCATAATTTTGTAAATTCCTTAAAAAATCCTTGTAACTCATTTAAATATCTTCAAGGAAATTATAAAATTATAGATCCCAAAGGATTCTTAAATATAAAATCTTAAGGAATATTTAATAATTTAATTAACGTATATTTATGAAAATTAAAAAACTAAATGATAATGTAAAAAAATTGGCGAGTGTAAAAAAAATAAAAAATGTAAAAGACAGCTAACACACTTCAATTGCCAATTATTAACTGACGCGGCGTCAACTGTCAAGCGCCGATAGACATCTGAAGTGCGACAGCTCATCTGACGCAAATCGGCATTTGACGCACAACACATATATAAGAAATTTAGCTAAGGTTAACTAATTGCTGGTTAGAAAATTTAAGGGAAGAAAATATCATTTACATGATAAATGGGAAGTGCACAAATGGTTACCTTTTAGAAGAGAAAATAAACAATGTTTAGTTGGTAATTTGAGACATACAAAGCTCAAGTTAATTTTAATTTCTTCTAGTACATTAATGATTTAAAATTTATAAATTGTCATTATTAAAAATATCAATTATTAATAAATGAATATTTATTATAAAACAACTTCCATTTATAAAATTGAAAATAATATTTCTATCTGATAATTTAAATAACTAAATAATTAATCAATTTCATTTACAAATCTATAAATATCAGTACATATATTAACATATTTTAGAACTTTAATATTATATAACTTAAATTCATTCACTTCATCTTTTAAATTAGACAAATCTACATCTTTACCTTTACTAATACTAAAAGTAGATGAAGTATTCTTAATAGCTAAATATTTGACCCTTTTCTTCTTCATAATATATTTTTTTATATAAGGTAAAATATCAATATCATCACTATATCCTTGCACCAAATTATTAATTGACAATTTCTTAAAGAAAGTATCTTGAGAATTTTTTAGGAATACTTCAAAATCATTTGTTTTAATCATGTAAAGAACCAAACTTAAAGATTCAAGTTTAGATGGGAGTATTTGTCCTAAATTTCGTAATATTAAATCATCTTGATAATGCACTACATTAATTGAAAGATGATTAAGATTTTGTTTAATATTTTCAATTAATCTAAACATTAGATAATTAACGTGACTTTCAATTCTATTTAAGCCGAGAAATTTGATATTTCTGCAATATTTTATAATTAATTCTAAGTATTGTTGTTGAACTCCAAATCTGTAACTCTCATATCTGAAATTTTCTAAATAATTCCCATATTTTTGTAATAATGATTGTAAATAATCAATTTGCAAATTCATACTCATAAATAGAGATTTTAGTTTAAATGGTTTGGTTAAGTTAATAATTTGTTGAATAAAACCATCTAAAGAAGAACAATAAATGATATGAACAGATTCTAAAACATTTAAATTTTCAAATGCTTTAACTAAATTATTTATACCATTAAAATTGACATAATAAAAAATGATTGTATTTAAAGTATTTGAACAATTAAATTCTTTTGATAATAGTAATGATTGATATAAAGTTAAGTTATTATAACCAAATAAAATTAATTTAAGATTTTGATGTAAATTAATTATTTGTGATATTTGATTTTTAATTAGTAACATACTTTTACAATGATTCTTTACAACAGAAAGGTTTAAATTTCTAATATTATGAATGAAATTTGGATTTTGTAAAATTATCTCTAAAATGTCATTATAAATGAAATAATCAAAATGTTTGTTGTTTATCTCAATTTTAAAAGTATGTAAATTTACTTCATTTTCAATAAATAATTTGACTATTGACATATTAATTAATTTTTTAAATTCGGATACTGATGTTAAAATTATATTATGTACCAAATCTATTGCTGAATTTGAAGTTTTATCATTAGCTTCTAACCACTTCTCAATAGAAAAAGTAACATTACATATGTTCAAATATCTTATAAAACTAGGATAATTGAAAAGTGTATTCGAAGGTAATAAATAATTAATAATTTGATAATCATTTATTTTTGTTTTTAAATAATCATCCAAATTATATAAGTAAACTTCAATAAAATTATAATTTCCGGTAGTAATTGAAAATGGATTTTCCCATAGTAATGGAATCGCTAAACGACACCATAATCTATTTACTAAAACACATGAATGTAAGGTTGAATAATCATTCTGAAAATTTTTGATGATTTCATATACTAATTCATGTAAATCTCCTGATAATATTTTTGAACATGACATGTTGTAAACGAAAAGAAGGAAAAAAAAATACGACGTGGCGTATCATTTAATTGTAGGCAAATTTATAGTCCATTGTCACACAACTAATGTCAATTAATTGTGTGTAACATTTAGGCGCAGTTTTTTTTTAAAATTACCGCGCGCATTCGGTAAAAAATGTGCAGATCATTAGATTTAACATTTTACTTATAACGATCGATTTGTCGATTACTAATTTTAATTATATAATTAATAAAAAATTATATTCTTTTTTTGTTAGATCATCGGTAAGAAAGGTCGAATCAGCTACTTTTTTTGTTGTTTTTTTACATAAATTTTTTATTATAACTGATAATGATTTTTTGATTTATTTTTAAAATTATTTTTTTAATTAACAACTTTTTGAAACCATTTAAAAATATGAATAAATAATGTAATTCTTTTTTGAATTTTTTTTTTAAAAATAAATTATTATTACTATATAAAAAATAAAATTTATTTTATAATAAAACCAAATTATTTATAAAAAAAAAAATCTTTCATTCTTTGTAGATCACTAGGTCTGGGTTGAGATCAACCGAGGGCCGGCGCCACGGCAATTGCCTTTTTTCCATTCTTATTAATAATAATATTATTATTACAATAATAGACTGACATAATTCACTTATCTATATATATCTATATAATTAAAAAATGGTGCGACTAACGTTTAGATTAGCCTGTATAAATTGCTGATTCGTATTTTTTATAGTTAAGACCCGCTTGATCGGTAAGTCATGTTGTACATCTAATCCAATTCCGGTTAATGAAATTTTAATCAGAATTATTTTTTTTTTCTTTTTTTCAAATTTCGTCGAAATACCTTTTTCTTTTCCTTTTTTTTTT